CCCTTCAATTCAATATTCAGAACAAAAACAACAATCCAAATTCACCAAGAGATGTGGATACATATTGCAGTTATAGCCTCCACCGTTGGATGCGTTTCAACCATACTCTTGATTTTAATCTGTCGCCGTTGGTGTTATATAAAAAACCACAGAGACTCTTCTTCTGAACAAGGAAACGTAACCAGAATGGAAAATTCTAGAACTAGAATTCATCATCACATGCCAAGTGTCCATCATCAAATAGATCAAGGTAACAAGAATAAAAGTAGCTATAACAATCATTCACTGTTTCGTTCAGGAAAAAGAACAGCAACAAGTTTGTTCAGTTGGATTAACAATCCATCTATGGCCGTTGATGCAGTTGAAAACGGATGGTCGAGATTCGCTTTCACTAGCTATAAAAGTTACACGCCATCTCCGTCTAAAAGGTCTACACTGTTAGGATCACGTGGAGCACCGGTAGGCGATTATAAATCCTCAGAAGCTGAGATTAGTTGGGAAGTTTCAAGTGAATCAGATGAGTTTATGCAGAAAGTTAGGTTAAATTCTGGAATGAAAAAATTGAATCAAATTATTCAAAATCAAAACGGTTATTCTAATTCTGTTGTGAATTCTGTTATTAGAACTGGTTTGCCGTTACCTGGTCCTGTTTTGGGGAATTGTGTTTTTCCGCAAGAATCTTATTTTGAAATTACGATTTTGTATTCGTCCATTGGCGATGAGTTTGAATCGGTTAGGAAGAGTGTGGAAGGTGATAAGGCTATGCTTATTGCGAAAGGGAATTCGGAGGCGTTGGTTCATGCTACGAGCGGTAATAAGAATAGTAAAGTGAGTAGTGTTGAAGAAATGAAGGTTGATGGTAGGGATAGTGGTGGGAAGAAGAGTGAATCGGTGATGTTTTCGTTGGGATTGACAGTTGGAGGACCTGTTGTTTTGAAAGTTCCTGGTAGTTATGCTGGTAGCATTGGTTTCAACTCGAATGGTTCTGTTTATCTTGATGGTAATTGATACTTCACTTGCATTTTGTTTATTGTTTTTCAAGTTCATGTTCATTCATGTAGTTACATTTTTAGCAAATGTGTTAATTTTGTTTAGATTAGTTTATTTGAACTCATCTATGACTATGCACATACATGTTACCTTTGTGAGACTGTTAAAGAGAGCTTATAGATACAGTTTACTACGGACCATGATTCCCTGCAGTTAGGGAACCACACATGAAGTTACTAATTGACTGCAGGGAATCCATTTCCGTTTACTACATGTTCATAAGCTTTTTGTTTTCAACTTATTTCTATAAGTTGTTTAGGATAGGTTATAAAAGCAATCCATAGCTTATATAAAATTTGAAAATAGTTTAAATTTATTTTATTTTAAAAAGTAGAGCTTAAGGGTCATTTCAATCTTTTTGGTCCTGATTTTGTAGTCTTGTGGATAGGATCTTCAACATCAAAGTTGAAACTGACAAATTTTCAATTTTGCATACCCTTTTTGTTTCACTTCAAGACAAAACTTCATCTTAAACATCAACATTATGAATGGCACACATGACATGTTTCACAACCCACACTATAACCACATGGTTATGTCATATACATCATAATTGTTTCATTAGTTTACTTTGTCTATTGGTTTTCAAAAAAATAGAATAGACATATACTTATATAGAACCTACAAGGTACAAACATATTCATGCTTCTGATATATTATAGTATTTTATTTGTTTTTTTCAGACATCTAAGTGCAAATACTTTGTTACAGGAATGAAACTTGTTTTCGAATCTGAGAAAGCAGAGTGGATAGGAACTGATAAGGTGATTGGTTGTGGATTTGATCCAATGCAGAAGAAAGTTTTCTTCACTTTAGACTCCGAATTGATGCATGTAATCCACTGCCAGACAGAAGAATTCAGCACTCCATTGTATCCAACATTGGCTGCAAATATAGACATCATGGTATTGGTTAATTTTGGACAAAATGCATTTAAATATGCACCGGCAAATGCTCAAAGAACACCGAATCCATGTTTAGTATCACCGCTTGTAAATTCTCCTGCTGCAACCCTAGGCTATGATGATAGCAGGGAACTGTTTTCCATGGGTAGGATTGATTCTCAGTGGCATAATAGGACTACAAACAAAGGAAGCCATAACAATAACAATGTGAACAATAATTCAACCATGGATTTTGATCAAGAGTCTGAGGCTGATTTGTTTGAAATTGCCATAGATGGTTCTGGAAAATCTACAAATACAACATCATAGCTTACAACAAATTGTGCCAAGTGTATATTTGTATTTGTCTTGGTTCTGGCATTTAACAACTCCTCTGCATGTACAAATAGTACATTACTTTGCACAACACAATATTGTAGGAAATTTTTTGTGTATTTAGAGTTTCAAAGGTAGATTACAGGTCCCAAGATGAGAAATAAAAAATATTTGTATATTAGAATATTAACTTTACCTAAAACTTATACTATGACATGAGTTTTGACTTGGTGATAAGATTTTGACTCTTTGACAGATGAGACTTTATCTAATGGTTGAATCAATTGCAACAGTGAGATTGAGAAAAGCAAGAACACCTAGATCTCAATGCATGTCATCATTTTCACAATTACAGTATCTTCATTTGACATATTTCTGTAATCCGTTTTCTGTTTTGAAGATCAAGATTAGAAATGTTTGTTACAAACAATCTTTTCCATTTGGTCTCATTTTATGCTTATATTTTATGCTTATATTTGTGATTTTTTTGACACAAATACCCTATATTGAAACCAATATTCCCACAATACCCTACTTTGAAAAATTTTTATCACAGTGCCCTACTTTTGAGGGAGTTCGCCCATGCAAGGGACGAACAACTGAAAAGGAAGCTTGAGTTCGTCCAACCCAAGGGCGAACCAGTGGAAGCAAATGCCATGCAAGGAGTTCGCCCATCCCAAGGGCTAACCAGTGTTGAATTTTTTTTTTTTTTTCTTTCATATTTTCTGCAATATATATTTAATATTTTTAATTAAAATAATAAAAAATATATTTAATATTTTTAATTAAAATAATAAAAAATATATTTAATATAAAACATAAAAAATCTATTCCATATTAAAACTATTTATTTAAAACATATTGTCTACGAAATATATTTAATCTATTTAATTAAAGTAATAAAAAAACTATTTAATAAAAAAAATTTAAATTAATTCTATATTAAAATTATTTAATTAATTTAATATAAAATATATTTAATTAATTTAATTAATTTAATATATAAATTATTTAATTAATTTTGTATAAAAACTATTAAATTAATTTACTATAAAAACTATTTAATTAATTTTATATTTAAATTATTTTTACAGACTCTCGGTCACTGAATGACCGAACTCAGACATAAATTTTTTATATAAATAAGCGTATCCGATTTACTATCATTCGTGTCAAGTTATCCGAATTATAAAGATGTCTGTGCAAGCTCATGTTTTCTATGGACCTGAGAAAAAAATCAGTGTTTACCTAGATCCGCTGTGGAATTTCAGAACCGTGGTTGCAGCAATTAACACTGGGTTTCGGCAGCTGGGCGGTCGTCGCGTGACGGTGAAAAAAATTGAGTATCGTTGTCCATATATAACGCTTACTGATGCTAGCCCGGAGGGGATGTACATGTACTACCTAGATCGTATAGAAAACGATGAAGATGTTCATTGCATGTTTTCAGCACATAGCGGTGAAGTCAACAGAGGAGTCACAGATCCGCTTGTGTTGGTCGCTGTTGTATGTTAGAGTTTATGTGAGCTTCATGAGTTTTATTTTTGCGTTTGTGGAGTAAAGGATCAACTTTATGTTTGTAGTTCGCTGCTTTTGTTGTATTTTGAAAGTTGTTTTGAATTAATAATTATTGATGGATCAAATACGAAAGTAGTACAATATAATTATCTATTCGGTCGGTTTGACGGACCGGCAACATTGGGACATTTACTACGCATATGACCTATTTCTCTACAAATCTCACACCGTCTCTTCTCTTTTTTTGCGTCATCCATCTCAGTTCTAATTCTACTACTTCTTGGACACCCCTTTTTATTTCTTCTCATTGAATCGTCGTGGCACAGAGTGAAACCATCATATTTTGGCCAGTTCTCTTCGTGTAGTAGTCCCAGGAAGCTTTCCTTGTAAACCTTGAATACGTTAAGTACTGTGAAGACCTCTGGAATGTGAATTGCATAGTCTTGTCGCATGCTAGAACATGCCGCTATCACGTGGGAGCAAGGCAAGTGACATGTTTGAAATTTTCCACAGTCACACTTACGATTCCTCAAGTCAACGCTGAAAGTACCCGTTGGACGACCATCGTTGTAATTAATCTTTTTCTGCACCATGAAACAGAATCTTTCTCGATCAAATTGCATGACGTTGTGTGTGTTAGCCTTGGCTACCTCCTCAGCCATTCCCTTGTTACAACCATCTGTGAAAACTTTCCCTGAAGATAGCATCTTGGTCCATTTGTGTCCTCGTTTACCAAATAGTGAACCCATTCGATAATATGTAGACTGGACCAATGCCGTGATGGGAAGGTTTCTCGTGGCCTTTAGTACAGAGTTTATTGCTTCTGCTAAGTTAGATGTCATATGTCCCCAACGTTGCCCTCTGTCAAATGCTCTAGCCCTCTTCTCCCTAGGAATATTGTCTATCCAATTTAAAGCCTCAGTGTTGGATCTTCTGATTTCTCCGCGATAATAATTAAATGAAGCCTCCGTCAATGCGTAACCTGTATCAGAAATTGTGTGAGAAAAAAATGATAAAAACTTGCCACAAAATTTTAGATAAGCGGTATTTATTTTGTTACCCATGTTAACAAGTGTTTTGCGTAGAACCTTGTCTTTAATCTCGCGCATGAAGTTCTGAGCAATGTGTCTTATGCAGTAGACATGTGAAGAGGGTGGATGTTGCCAACCGTTTTCAGGATTGTTGTATGCACTTTTTATCGATTCATGTCTATCAGATATTAGACATAAATTCGGTTGTGGTGTCACGTGTAATCGTAGGTTCCTCAGAAAAAAAACTCCAGACTTCCTTTGTTTCTCCTTCGACCAATGTGAATGCCACTGGGAAAATATTTGCGTTGCCATCCTGTGCCACCGCCGTCAATAGAGTTCCTCTGTACTTGCCGTACAACCATGTCCCGTCTACTTGCACAATGGGTTTACAGTAGGCGAAACCACGTATACATGGACGAAATGCCCAAAACAGACGATGGGATATTTGTTTTCCGGAGTTTTGGGAACCATCACTTGATGTTGCAGGTAGGGTTTGCAAATCTATAATGGTTCCTGGAAGAAAGGTTTTCATTACCAGTATCCACTGCGGTAATTCGTTGTACGATGTTTCCCAATTGCCATAAAGCGACTCTACCGCCTTGCACTTAGCGATCCACGCCTTCCGGTAAGATATAATGTACCCGTATTTTTCTAGAATATGGGCAACGATCACTTTTACCTTAAGTGAGGCGTCGCTGTTGACAAGTTCTCTGATGCTATGGCAAACCATTTCTGAACTGAGCTTCCTATAGTCTTGTTCCATCGACGTCGTAGTGCATGTGTGAGACCCAGACAGCTTACCGATCACCCATTTTGAGTTCCTTCGTCTAAATGAAGCTCTGCACTTGAACCTGCAGTCTTGTTTCTTACACTGAATGACATATCATTCATTGTCAGACTGATACACCCAATAGTCCACACAGTGTGTTATGTGCCAATGCTGAAGAGCGAGGACGCAGGCTTCCTTGTTTTCAAACTCCATACCGATCTCTATTTCGTCACCTATATGGTTTTGAATAACACTTCCAAACACGGAGGTTGTGTCGTCATCTTCAAAATCAATATTTTGCATGTGTGTCGGCGGGTTATACAAACTTACGGGTTGTGCGCAGATCGGTTGCGTAGACGGGACAACTATATCTTCGTCTTCATTGTCTTCGTCACCGCTGTCACCAAAAATATCTTGCATCCTGATCTCCTCATAAATATCATCATCACTTGATTCTCCAACCTCCTCATCTGGTATGAAAGGTAAATTGTTTTGTGTTGGTTCGTCGTCGGATGTTTGGCTCATCCCATACCAGTGTGACTGGGTCTCCTTAGTTGGCAATGTTTCAGGATTGTGTTGTAGTCTGACATACACCTCAATTGTAGGTAACTGACCAAACATCATGTGGCACCGAAACATTGCCTTCACATCCTCGTCGTTTTTGATTGGCGTCATAAATGTAAAAAATCGTACAGTCGTCTTCATTAAGGGTGGGATGGCGATAAATGATTTCCTCAACGCCTTGTGCCAAATTTTTTTCCATTATATCCTTAAAATGAAAAAAATCTGAATTGACATGAATTTTGAAGGCGTATGTATCCGTATTGCTGAATGAGAATCCAACAGGAGTGTTTGTCGAAACAACACCGTTAAAGTGACATGTGGTAATTATGTTTCTCTGTGACATTTTGGAGTTTGAAATTTGAGAAGTTTAAATTTTTTTGTAGTGTAAGATTGAATGTTGGGGAGTTTGAATTTTTTTAGAAGTGTATGATTGAATGTTGGGGAGTTTGATTGTGGTAATTGATGCATAAAAGAGAGGTTTATAATATAGTGATTCAAACATACATACAAAGGAAACGAATATCAAAATTTCAGTATCACTAGTTCGCCCACTCAAAGGGCGAACTTTCCAACAACATTGCCTATGGTTCGTCCACCAAAAGGGCGAACATGTGAGGGGAATCTTTGGTTCGTCCCACCCATGGGCGAACTTGTAAGGGTCTGCAAAAAATGTTTCACATGCATACGACATTGTGTAAGAAGCTAGCCTTGCATGCATGCAAAAAAAACGTAGGTGCCATGCAAAAGTCTCTTCAATCTATAACTTTAAAAATTGTTTACCCTAATATTTTATTTTCATACACACTACTATATATTCAAATTATTTACCTCCAAAATTTACACAACATTTTTACTAATTCTCTCTACTTCCTAGCAATTCTCACTTCTATTCCTCTACTATCTTGCAATTTTTACCCGACTAAAATGGCATTATTGTGGATGGGTGATGAGCACCGTGGAACACAACAAAATATCAATAACAGTGTAAGTTTTTCAAATTCTATATATTTTTTCCCAAAAAAATTAATGTATGTTGTTCTTTGTCAAATTATTATTTCGTCGTAAAAATTGTGACTAACTAATGTTGGTTTAATATTGTTGCAGATTAATGCCCCGAGGTTTAGGGTGCATTCACATTCTCCTGTTCGAGCGAATGATAGAATAATGCCTTATCTTGAGATCGCAGGATTCGCACACATTTCAAAAATAAACAGTTTGAAAATCGACTCAAGCCTAGTTGTTGCTCTATTGGAGAAATGGAGACCCGAGACCCACACATTTCATTTGCCAACAGGTGAATGCACCATAATCCTTGAAGATACATGTATGTTACTAGGTCTATGAGTTGATGGCAAAGCTATCAACGGTCCCACCGAGGTAACAAGTTCTGTTTACATGGATTACTTGGGGAAGGAACCAAAAGAAGAAGATAAAATGAAAGGTTTTGTTAGGATAACTTGGCTTGAAAGTGAGTATGAAAATTTAAAAAACAAAGAAAACCCGACTCAAGACGATGTTTTATTAGAAGCCAAATTATTTATTTTACTCGTGATCACAACAATTTTGTTTCCTGACAAAACTCAAAACCTTTTGCATTCTTCTTGGGTCCCTTTCGTGGGGGATCTCATTGAATGTGGAAAATATAGTTGGGGTTTTGCGTGCCTTGCAAAATTGTACAGAGAAATGTGCAAGGCAGCAGAAAAAGAAGTTAGGAGCATGAATGGTTGTGTTCTCCTACTAACTTCTTGGGCATTCACACGCATCCCATTGTTCGCTCCTGTCAGCACAGTAGAACCCTCGTATCCATATGCACAAAGGTATTTATGTATATAATACTCATATTTATGTACGTAAAATATATATATTTCTTATCAAATATGTCTAACATTATTTTGTTTTTGATTGTACAAGATGGGCACAAAGAGGAATGAATTACCGTGCAACTCCTCGTTTCCATCTTCAAGGATATCGAAACGCGTTGGACCATATGCAAGAAAAAGATGTAAGTTTTAAACCAAGTGAAAATCGTGGTCGGTTCTTCAATTTAATGGCATCTTAATTTTCTTTGTTATATGACAGTTTATATGGAGGCCGTACATTCAGTACACGGTCCCGCGTCTAGAAGATAGCCAAATCTGGAGTGCCACAACGTACCTTATTTGTTTTTACATCGTTGAGATGCATCAAACAGATAGGGTAACACTCTAGTTTGGAGTAGACCAACAAATCCCTCCCCTTCCTAAGTGTCTAAAGGATCAACACGCAATGACCATGCGAAAAGCGCAAAAAGTTCATTGGCAACAGTTAAATAAGAACGAGGTCCGAGAATGGAGACACAGAAGACATGTGATTTTGCAGGGGGACTCTGTATTAGGTGAACGCAAGCCAAGTTAACAGTATTTAACTTGGTTCCGCGCAATTCCTTATGTCCATGTTGCTCCGGATCAATTTTTGACCGACCACGGACGCAACCATCATCATCGACACAACCAACTGCCGCATCAATGCATCCGGATGCCCCACCAACCAACACCTCTCAATTTTGGGGGTACCCATCCTCGTCAGCTCAACATAACTATAACCTCCCCCAGTTCACCCAACAATATCAGCCCCAACCCTACCTCTGACCACCCAGACAGTTCACCCCATGCACAACCCCCAACTTTGAGCAGAGCAACCCTTATTTCCAATATCCTACAAATCCTACCTTCAACACTACCTTCTCACAACCCGCCTTCACGCCTGATGACGTCTACATCCCAACCGTTCAACAAACCCAAGCCGAAACCTACCCACAGCCACCACAACCAACACATTCATTCCAACATTTTTTACTGACAGAGGAGCAACTGATGCAAATGCCGGATTTTAACATCGAAGATATTCTAGATGATGAACCAGGACCCTCTACAAGGCAGACAATCCCCCCGACAACACATCACAATGAAGATTTGTCTTCCGACTCGTCTCAGTCATCTGCAAACGAGCGTTTGGGGAGAGGACACCGACAGCGAAGGGCCCTAGGTGTGGAACTGGGGGTCATCTTCGATGATATGTATATTTAAGTAATCAATTTTATTGTAACTATTTAATCTTGAAATTTTATTCTTGTAAATTATTTGATCAATTAATTAAATATGTTTATTATTAAATTAATTCAATAGATTTTATATGTTTTATATTAAATAGTTTTTTTTAAAAATTAATTAAATATATTTTTTATTAGTTTAATTAAATAGATTTTATATGTTTTATATTAAATAGTTTTCACTTAAAATTAATTAAATATATTTTTTTATGTTTTTTATTAAATATGTTAAATTAGTTAAATATTATTTAATCAATTAATTAAATATGTTTATTATTAAATTAATTGAATAGATTTTTTATGTTTTATGTTAAATATATTTTTTATTATTTTAATTAAAAATATTAAATATATATTGCAGAAAATATGAAAAAAAAAAAATTCAACACTTGTTCGCCTTTGGAATGGGCGAACTCCTTGCATGGCGTTTGCTTCCACTGGTTCGCCCTTGGATTGGACGAACTCAAGCTTCCTTTTCAGTTTTTCGTCCCTTGCATGGGCGAACTCCCTCAAAAGTAGGGCACTTTGGTAAAAAAATTTCAAAGTAGGGTATTGTGAGAATATTGATTTTATTATAGGGTATTTGTGTCAAAAAAATCTATATTTGTTCTTGAATTGAGAAGAGTTTCAAGACTAATGTATCTTAGGGTAATGCCAATTTATGTACTAATGGGCACAAATTAAAAACCAAATGAAAATGTTAGTTTTGAAAATTGTGCATTGATTTTAATAAAAATATAGAATTAATTTTTTTTATTAAATTTTTTATAAATGAGTTTTTTTTAACTATGAGCTAACATTATATTTTTTTTTTTTAAAATATCTTAAATAGTCGTCGAAAGGATCTCTAATTTTTACACTATAATAAACCCATATGACACAATAGAATTACCCCACATAATACAAAAGAATTATCTAAGGATCTCTAATTTTTACACTATAATAAATCCCATATGACACAATAGAATTATTCCACATGATACAAAAGAATTATCTGTTCTTTTCATTTATATACTAATGATATTAACGGATAACTATATTATGTCGACTCATATAAATTATATACACAAAAGAATTAAATATGTGATAGTGTACAAATTAGATATCCTTTCAACAACTATTTAAGATACATTTTAAGAAAAGAATTAGGGTGGAAGGATAGTGTCCTATCCAAGGTAGAGAAGATTATAAATCACAATTAAATCACTCATTTTAAATTATGATGCCAATCAATCTAGAAATATATTCTTTAATATGACAAAGATCATTACTCATAGTATATGATATAAATATTAGTCATAATAATTTT